AGTACGATGAGGAAGAACCGGAAGTGAAGAGGAAGTACGAGGAGGAAGAACCGGAAATGAAGATGAAGTACGAGGAGGAAGAACCGGAAGTGAAGAGGAAGTACGAGGAGGAAGCGGAAGAAGAACTGGAAGTAACGGGGAAGTACGAGGAGGAAGAGGAAGGAAAAGAGTTGCATGAAGAGGAAAAAGAAAAAGAGGTTTTAGAGGATGGAGGTGAAGATGAAAGAGCAGGAAACGAGGAGAAGAGCGATGATGAAGACGAGGTTGAAGAACAGAGGGATGAAGAGGAAAATGAGGTTTTGGAGAAGAAAAAAGAAGAGAGAGAAAATGAGGAAGAAGAGATAACAGGAGGTCATGTTGAAGAAGAGGAAGAGATGGAGACAGCAGGAGAAAAGGAGGACGAGGAGGTACAAATCAAAGAGGAAATAGTTGTTGGAAAAGAGGAAGAGGAGGAAGAGGTAGAAGAGGAAGAAGAAGACTCTGCCAGAAACCAGAATGAGGACGTTTATCCCAGCTCAGCGAGCAGCGACAGAGAAACAACACAAAGTCTGACGGACACAAAGTCTGCCCATCTGGATCTGAGAGAGGACGAGACGCAGAGTTTGGAGGAAAGACTCAAAATAAAGACGTCGTCTCCGGGAGAAACATCTGCCGTCGTCAGGGACTCTACACCTGGACCGCAGACAGGTCAACTCTGGCTCTTATGGCTGCCTTTTTTACCTTAATTGTATTGCATCGTTAAGCGTTCAGTGTTAATTAATTAATTAATTGAAACCTAATTAAAATTCCCCAGAGATGACAGTCACTCAGAGGCAAATAAAAAAAAAAGCTTCAAAGGACAAGACAAGATAACTAATTGTCTAAGTTAGTCTTATTGGGATTGTGTTGATTAAGGAAACCAATTAACAGACCATAATAACACTCCCCCATTTGTTATACTACATGTTTTGTTTAGATATGCAAATGAAGCCAATGCTAGCTTTTATGGAGTTCAGGTGAAATCTAAACTCACCAAATGGAAGGAAAACAGCCCCCAAAAAACCTAAAATCGACTGGTGTTTGTGTCCCCCTTTAATGGGAGCTGTGTCCCCCTTTAATGGGAGCTGTGTCCCCCTTTTAATGTGAGAGAGATAAGATAAGATAGGACTTTATTTATCCCAAAGGAAATGATTGTGCCAGAGTTACAAAAATACAATAAACACAGCAGCATGATAATAAAACTGTACACCAACAGTGCAGTAAAAAGAGCAATTAAATAACTTCATGTCACATAGACGGTCACATAATGAATGTAAGATACTTTACAGTGATGAGCAGTATTGAGTAGTGCAAGATACGAAATGCATGTTATTGTAGACACTTATTAATAATATTGAACATGTTATATAGCAGAGAGTGTTTTGTAATGATAAAACTAAATTACCTAACCTTTCAAATGTATTTTAATTAACACAATAGTTTCCATTATTTGGCATCAGCTTGCAGGTTGAAGAAGAGAGTGGCGTTGATGGATCCAGAAGCGTCACTAATGGCCGAAGAAGAAGGAGGAGGACGAGGAACACAAAACTCATCCAATCCTGCGATGGAGGCTAAGGAAGGAGAACCGGATGAAGGTCAAAACTCTGGCCTTACGAACGGCAAGGCTGACAACAAGAAGAAGAACGGCAAGCCACAAGCGTCGAAGTTCAAAACCGTGTCGTACAGAAGGATCCGGAGAGGAAACACCCGGCAGAGGATCGAGGAGTTTGAGGCCATGATGGATTTCGTAATTTAACCGGAGAGAGTTTTGGTTCTGTTGGCTCTCTGAGCTCTTGTGGTTAAAGATGATAGCGGCATCGTTTAGAGAAAAGTATAGGGGCCCAGGATAGAGCCTTGTGGTACACCTTAAGCATCATATTTTTGGGAAGAAACTGAAATAAAGTATAAATGTTTTGTTCCGTGATATGTGTTTTCTAGTTATTCTAAACAGCACAGTCTAATAATCAGTATTGCATCATATTTATTATTGAATAGTGATATTAAACAAGTTTACAAAGCATCATACTGATTTAAGTTATTTGAGGTAACTTATAATTTATATATTTCTAAATATTAATTATGATATTTTTGTACTACAATGTTAACTAGTACATTTTTACTCATTTTTAATCATGTTTAATGAACATTGCGGACATGTATTTTCTATAACAACTTATCAAACCAACATTTTATATATGGAAATAACCTTTAAAAAGTTTCCGCTTTACTTATATGTATATGAATAATTAAACATTTGTTAAAATAAGGAGCGTACAAGGACTACAAATCCCACAATATAGAAAGATATATAATAACTTTTAATGTGAAAAAAATATTTGTGAGTGTGATCAATATACGTTTAATTGACCTGAAACTGACAAATGAATCGCTAACAAATACATTCATTATTTTAATCTGTTATCTTTGCTGGAAAGATAAAACCAAAAATATCAGAATCCGAAGTCCTTTGTTTGTACCACAACAGGGAGATTTACATTATCATAGCAGCAGAAGTATTGAGAATATACTTACATATTCAAACGTTTAAAAATAGCTAAGTATACACATGTTGTAAATAATAAAAAGGAACAATAAGTAAAAACGAGTAGCAGATAAGTAGCAATATATGTTTTAAAAGTGACCATATGTGTACAAAAAGCAATATAATAAGGTTGATTAGCAAACCAAAAGTATTTCTCTAAGTAGAAACTCCAAAGATTGAAGTGTTTTGTTGCTGTAAAACCATAGTGTAAAACAGATGTATCCAACAAGGACTACAAATCCCACAATCCTCTGCTCCTGTCATTGACGTCACCGGGAGCCCGGACCCGGCGTGTCAGCAGCGAGCTGGATTTGCACTCGGCAACAAAAGAGCAAATTTTAAACAGTTTGCGAAACTTTGTCGAGGACAGTATTTCGGGGGGACTTTATCACAGGTACGTTTATCCGCCAGGGGGCATTTAGGAATGTAGTTCTCACCCGAAGTTTGTAGTTTTTACGGTTTACATTTTGAATGTTGGAAGTTGGCTAACTAGCTAGGTAGCTAACAAGATGGCCGCGTCTATTTACTGCGGAACAATAACAAACATGTTGACAAACAAACACGTGTTGTTTAGCATCATCTCACATGAGAGACTACCTTTTAAACTGTCATTTACTGAATTGAAGAAGTCATTTCTGATTGGTGTACACGTTTTGGGACCGTTTCCATAGTGATGACACCAATGAGGAAGAGGAAGGAGGTGGTGAAGAAGATGATGATGATGATGATGACGATGTTGACGTCATGCAGTTAGCTGGACTTCAGCCCCGCAGACAGAACCGGATCCGGGACAGAAAGAGACACCATGCCGCGGAGGAAACAGTCCAACCCGCAGCCGGTCAAATGTGAGTTTCCTCTCCAGCTGTTTCACTCTTTATTTACTGTTTTAAATGTTGTTTTCCAGCTGTTTGAGTCTCTATCTAGTGTTCAAATTTTGTTTTAACGGTTGTTTCTGTCTGTATTTAGTTTGTAAACTGTTGTTTGAGTCTGTATCTAGTGTTTTAAATGTTGTTTCCCAGCTGTTTGAGTCTTTTTATATAGTGTTTTTAAATGTTGTTTCTGTCTCTTTTTAGTCTTTTAAATGTTGTTTCCCAGCTGTTTGAGTCTCTCAAGTGTTTAAATGTAGTTTTAACTGTCGTCTTCTATCTGTTTCTGACTGTATTCATAGTGTTGGTCTCTCTCTACACACCAGTCACACTTTAAGGAAGTGTTTCTTTCCTGTTATTGCTCAATGTAGAAATCCAGTTTAAATCACATGTTATTAAAGATGAGACTCAAGCTGAACAGCCATGATTAACATATGGACTTCCTCATGGAGTTAAAGCTAGCTGTAGTCCTCTCAGTAGACGACATGTTAGTGTTTTAGTGTTTTTATCTCATCCTGGATTTTTTGGCAGTCCACTTCCTCCTCTCTGCTTCCTGTCTCCACTTCCTGTTCGCAGGCCTGACCCTGACCTCTCTCTTCATGCTTCTTCCTCTCTTCCACGTCTCTAATTGAATCCTCCACATGTGTTCTGTGCAGAGAGGAGAAGTACACACATCCTTTACTCAAGTAGAAGTACACATACTCATGTACTTCAGTAAAAAGTACCCATAACTAGCAGCTGTTTTAAAGAGTACCTGACCTCCCTTTATATTCATAGAACAATAATGTCATTGTTAGCTAATGAATGTTTCCATGCTGAACAACGGCAACATGACAACGTTTTCATTGGTCCCTCTTCTTTAGAGAAGACCAGGAAATGATGGATACACGGATCGTGTTCAAATCAATAGGCACGCAATGACTCTAAATAATAATGATCACGCCACCAAACACACATTCAGACTAAAGGAACCAGCCTGTTTGGAAAATGAGAGAAGTAGAAAGTACAGGTATTTGTGTTCAACATGTAAGAAGTAGAAAGTACAGGTATTTGTGTTCAACATGTAAGAAGTAGAAAGTACAGGTATTTGTGTTCAACATGTGAGAAGTAGAAAGTACAGGTATTTGTGTTCAACATGTAAGAAGTAGAAAGTACAGGTATTTGTGTTCAACATGTAAGAAGTAGAAAGTACAGGTATTTGTGTTCAACATGTAAGAAGTAGAAAGTACAGGTATTTGTGTTCAACATGTAAGAAGTAGAAAGTACAGGTATTTGTGTTCAACATGTAAGAA